GAGTGGATATTTATGCACTTGAATTGAGTAACTAATGACATCCATTGTCATTATCCTTAAATGTTATTTCTATTCAACGCCTTTTATTTCGCAGCAATTTTCACATTTCTGGGTCTCATCCACGACTCAATACTAAAGTAACAAAGAGAAAAATAAATCAATAGCGGTAGCCAACCTTGAACTGCGACCTCTTGGAATACAGCGTGGTCATCCATGTAGTACGACAAAACAAACATTGTTGTAAAATTATTGCTGAAAGTGCATTCATATGCACAACTACCCGTGTATGGAATTACATACATATGTATGTAGTATGTATGTACACATATGAACTCCGAAGAAAGTACTTTGTCGTGCCATTACATTTAGTCGCGACATGGCAAACAATTGTTAACACGCTGTTGCATGCTGTTGCAGGGGAGATACATATACATATGTATATGCAGTGAGTTATCGTTGCTGAAAGGCATGCCTTATGCCTTATGGCATGAGTGAGATGAGAAGTATTCACAGATGTCTAAATATTTCTGCACAAACATATTTCAACGCGTGCAAGTCATAAAGTTCTAAATGGAAAGTAATTGACATACATACGTACATATGTGCAGATAATTTTCAAGAAAATGGAAATTCACTGTTCACTTGTTTGGAATGGGGAAAAAGAAGAAGATAAAGCTGTAAATGTTGTATTTCAAATTGCAGTGACGTTATTGGACAACGAAATGTTTCCGGTTGACAATAATTGGTTTTCGAACAACTTTCGACAGGAAAGTTTGCAACTGAATGTGTTTAGAGATGTGTTTTTAATTTGATGAACATTCTGACACGTATTTTCCTTAAAATTTGCACAATTGTAATAATGAGGGCTCGGAATCTCATGCAAATACATACATGTTTTTACTGGACATCTTCAGATGGAAATGGTTAAGTTGTTCTAACAAATCATAGAATTTGCTTTAAAATGGCATTCAAACTTTAATGCATATTTTTGCATATTTTACTTATTTTAAAGTTATTACACTTATCGATTCTTAGGGGTCTAGAACAAGAGCAACTACTCCGAGGCACAATTTCACCCGGATCTTGATGAAGAAGGAATCGCAAACCGAAGATAGAAAACATCCTTCACCCCGAAAATATCACTATGAAAAACTAAAAAGCACTCGTTTTCCTTACTTGGCATGATTCAAAAATTATTACAATAATGGAACTAAACAATTCCTTTAGATTTTGCGACGCTAAATCTGAATTTGTAGTCAGAATTCAAAAGTTGGTCGCTTTTCTATCTAGCTTAAGGCATTCAAAATATATCTCCAAAAAGTAGCGTGCCCAGATGTTGCAATCTCCGTAACCGTAAGACCGTAAACCGTAACCGTAACCGTAAACCGTAAGAGAAGATGAAGAGCTACATGTTCCTTTTCATAGATTTGCAGTCCGCTAGAGCACCGATGGTCTGTGAGGTAGTCCGCCTTCTTACAGAATATAAGCTTCAAGCCCTTTTGCGGTCGTACCCAAGCCAAGTTCTTGAAGAGTTCAGAATAGTTCTGCTTTGTATTCACCTTTTATTTGTTAGTGCATTGAAATTATTTTAAGAGCACCTTGCAAATGGTCAAAGATATACCAATAACGCCTTTCCTAGAAGAATCTGCGTTATAAAAAATTGCCATGCAGTTACACGTCACCGCCATGTGACCGTGAAGCCAAAGCAAAATGAAGGTAACAAGTAAAAAGATCAACGGAAATAAGGTAAATTGACACCATTTCGCATGCTGGTGCGAAATAAAGTCAATTGACATTATTACCACTTGAAAAGCGAAATAAAATCCATTGTTATTATTTTTCCTCTTTCAAACATTAAATCCGCGGCGGCCCCCATCCCTGAAGGGGGAAAAAGATGGTAAAGCACGTCGATGGAATCGAACATTTACGGCAATTTTTCTCACTTGACAATTTTTAGTAACAACTCGACCCCAGCGCCACCCAGCGGCTCTTTTTTGCAATAGTATTGCCCTTACCAATACATATCTCGAATATAAACCAAATCGGATCAGAAATAAGTAATTTAACAATAACTCCATTCCAGCGCCACACGGCGGACCCTACTGTGAATCTAAACTATAAAGAGACCAGCCCACAAAAAAATTTCGTTAAAATTAGTTCATCACAAACTCACGTGTATAATGATTATATATACATACAATCAAGGATATATAAATATAAATATGTGGTCTCCATTGGAAATATAATTTGTGACATGATTATCACGACATCGGCGTTTTCCTGTGGAGACAGGGCCTGAGATATGCAATGGGAAAAATTCGGTTTGTATGGGAGGTGCCACACCCTCTTCACTTAGCGGTATGAAATATACTTTGCGACCTATTTTCATACCTGCCAAATGTACACAAAAAATTTCATACAAATCTGTCGAGCCGTTTCGGAGGAGTTCGACCACAAACATCGTGACACGAGATTTTTATTATTAGATCTATATACATATATGTATGTACATATGTACATCGACCGCCACGTATTTATTGTATGCCGCTGTTTTAAGTGAAAATAAAATTCATTCATTATTAACATACTGAAAAAAAACAAAAACAATTAGCAAAAGAAAAGCAAAAATTTTTTATAAATTTCGCAACTTCAATAATTTATTTAAAAAATAGATGTCGACGAAAAAATTGATTAACAACGTTATCGTATTAATTTCACATTAATTAAAAATATTCATCAATTTGGTGCGACCAATTACCTACATACATATGTACATATTTATATGACACATACAAATCGCATATTTATAAGCGAATTCACAACAAAAAATTCAATTTACCTTACTAATTAAACTTTATTAATACGCAACATTTTCAAAAAGGCTGACTTCTTGTTTTACAACTAAATATTTTTTGTTCGTTGATGTAAATGATCCCACAGCCACAATGAGATACGATTTCAATGATTGCATAATTACATGGATTTAAATATGGGCATTTCCCCTAAAAACAAGCAACGAAAAGAGAAGAAATTAAAAATACATATTTCGTCTTTTATATACATAAATGTTACACTAAGTAATCGGTTACCGTTACATGCAATAAATTAACGATTTGTTTAGGTCGCTGATGCCGAATATATTCCTAGGTTTTTTCAAAGTGACAATTTTTTGCGAATCAAAATTTATTTATGTAATGAAAAGTTGTAAAAATTCGATGCATCAAAAGTTTTTCGTGCGAAAAATTTGCTTGATAGGGGCTGATGTCTACCCATCGATGATGTGTGCTGTACGTTTGTGTGTGCAATTGCTTTTTCTTAAAATTCCATACCTTTCACTTAAATTTTTTCGAACAAATTAAAATTAAAAGGTTTGAAATTTTTAGAAAAAGCATTTACTTAGATTTTGTGCATATCTACGGTCCAATGTGTAAAATGTGTAAAACCATACTTGATTGTGTGCGTATGTAAATATGTATGCACATATTGTACACTGTAAAAAATTCGATCAATCCAGGATGATCCCGGCAGCAATTGCAAAGGAAATATGTGACTAATACCACTTTCGGTCTCTTTATATCACTAGGGGTCAGTTATTCACTTTGCGCGATTGTGTTGAGGCAGATTTAAAAGTTCTTTTCCATAACTAGTACACTAAGTAAATAAGAAATTTTTTATATAGAATATAACATTTCCTTCTATTTCATCCTCTTTCCTGCGTAACAAGCTTATCTTACTCGCGAGCATACTGTGTGCTCACCTCTGCATTGTATGAAGTGAAGTCTTCACTTTTGTTTCAGGATGTCTTATAAAGAGACTAATTGTTCCACTGTATACCCTTTTAAAAAGTAAAAATTAAAATTTGCGCCAGCTGAGATTCAAACCGCCGATCTCAGGTTTGCTAAAGCTATACTCTGCCTACATGCCAACGCAGTCGGAGACTAATTAATCTCTAATTATTCCCGCAAAGGATGAGTCGAGACTAATTGATCTCCAATACTACCCCAATGAGACTAGTTGCAATAAATTAATGACTAATTGTATGCCATTTCGGCTAGTCGCGGAATAGTCTCTTAAGGGATTAGTCGCATAATTTTTGCGGGGTAAATTCAAGCATGCACGCATATTGGCTATTGACTCAATAATAACATGTTGGCTGTTCGGTTTTGTGGTCAGATGCTCTGGAGACTTAACTGTTCATTTGCATTTGTGTGAATTTGTGTATTTATTTATGGAAATATTATCAGAAGTCTGCTGTGGTTATTACACTCAATTGTGCGTAATCTGTTGTTTTTTGCTTTGTTCTACATGAGTGCAGTTAATGTAAATAATTTTTATTTATGTTTATTATGAGAAAATTCTTGGTTTTCGGAAATGATATTTCATTTATATTTTAATAATATCCTTTCCTGCTAAATGGTTGAACGTACATATCATTCGGGACAATATTTTGTTACCTGGTTATGGGATGGTAACAAAATTTACCAATTCGCAGAATTCGAAAAGGGTTTAAAAATTATGAGGAACTTTATTTACGCGTAACAAAATGTTTGCTACCAACGCAAAATAGGCCTGTTAATATCAAATGTAGAAACTTACATAATTATATGCAGTATGACAGGGGGCCAAAAAGTCTCAAATGGGTGGAGGGGCAAAGTAAGAAGAAAATGTGATCTTGCGGGGCAGGATTTGGCGCCTTTTTTAAACTGTGTAGGGAAAACATAGAGGGTCTGCTAGGACCTGCCAGAAAGTCGGGGCCGTATAAAGATATGAAGGAACAGTTCTGGAAATATTTTCTTGCTAGGATTCCAGTAGGCCGCCGATTGAACTCTTAACCAGAACTTACCGCGTAAACTAACCTGACATATGCAGATGAAGGTGTACGATATTTAGCTTTGGAAATTCAAATAACAAAAAAAAATTCAATTCCCAACAATTTTCTATACATACATATTTTTTATTTATTTATTTATAAAAATTGTTTTACATTATTCTAGGTACAGTAAGCCTTAAATTTCGAACACACAACAACTAAAGATAATCATTAAGGATTGAAGGCCTTAGGATTGATGACATGCGCATATTCCGGCGCATACCGTTTTGATGGACCAGGATATTTATGTTCATATGCGGCTGCAAATTTGAAAAGTTTGATCAAGTTAGCAATGAAATATTTCACGCTGATTAATTTACTAATCACAATTACCAATAATATAGTCAATAGCTGTACGCCAATCAAGCTCTCTCGCTGGTGCGGCCTCCGTGAGGGATAAGCAGCAGATGACGATCAGGCAGAGCGCGAAACACACTAATAATTTGGACATTTTGGGTGAGAAATAATAATCGACTTTTACTATGATGGTCGCGCTTGAACTGTTGGCTTGCAAAGTTAGACTGCAAATATGAACAAGCAAAGGATGCACGCTTTATTTATACGTGAAGCGATGGAAGAAAGCTAGTATTTTTTATTTGCAGGGTTGCTGATTTTGTGTTTGTTTTTTGTTTTTTTTATGAGTGTTTTTTTTATGAGTGGGCTGATTGCAAAAAAATTGACAAAATTCCAAAATTTGAAATTCTTGCTGAATGTGTGCATGGAGGAAACTTGTTTTATGTGCCGCAAAAGAAGAAAGATCACACAAACTGATTAAAAAAATCGGGTTTAAGCTAGAACAAAAAAAAAAAAATGAAAGCAATTAACATTGTTCTAACCGCTTGAAATTCAGTGCAAAAGAAATTTAATATTTGTATATTTAAAATTATTAAATTCATAAATTAGACTTAGATTTGGTAATTAGCAATTGGCGTTGACTACCTACTAACTAATGACCGCTCTCAAGTTACCGCTCGGTGCAGTTTACGACACATGCCTGTCCCGCACCTCAGCTCGGCTGAGAAAGCGAGCTCTCAAGTTCATATTTGACGTAATCGCTAATCGCACCGCTAGCGTCTGCGTTTTCTGCTTTCGCTAACCTGACCCAGCGCTCCTACATATACTTAATGCTTTCGCTTTCGTCTTAGCCGTCTAATTTGCATAGGTATGCCACCGCCGCGCAGTGCTTTCAATTGTTCCTTCCCCCATATTTTCGTTGCTTTAGTTCTTGGCTAAAATAGCACTGGGAATTTCCAGGCGTCTAATTTGAGTTGCTTATTATTTTAATCAATTTATCTTGATGCGTACAAAATATATAATTTTTGTTATAAACAATTAGTAGATACGCTTGCTTGGCTAGCAGGTTCATTGGACCACATCTAACAGTTTTTATCGCATTCCGGAGCGGGTTAAAGAAATAACGTAAATAGTTCAGACACACTTCCTGCCTCCTGTTGAAATTAAAAATTATATTCTGAAAGCCACATGTAAACAATTTGCTAAAAATAAACAATTGGCTACTTAATATACATACATAGATACATATGTAGGCAATTTGTTAACCCGAACTAATCACATCATTAACGTCGTTGAAGTGTTTTTAATGACCTGATTTACATGCTTAAATGTGGAAGTTTGCATAAATATTTTTTGCTGGTGATGCCTATATTTCGTTACCTGAGAGCTTATAAATATTAAAAGGGCTACTCGCGATCATTATTTAATACTATTTGAAACGTTTTACATTAATGTCCAGAAGCAGAAAAATAATAAAAACATAAAAACTTGATTTTAAATTAATACTGACAAGAACACATACTAAAAAACGTAGTACATACTTATGCACATGGATATGGATATACATGATGATCATTAAGATGATCATGATCGTAAATTCCAGCGACTCCTGCTCTAATGAAAAAATATGCAATTTTCGTTAAGCTTGCGTTTTAAATTCGTGATTGTATATGTGTGTATGTGTGTTCGTAGTGCAATCGAACTTGATTTGCTATGTTTGTGGTTTAAAAATAACCAAAAAGCACATAATAAATTATAATTTATTAAAATAATTCCTATTCTAATTAAGCGGATGTGGAAGAAAATGAATAATTGATAAGCTTTAAAAAGTAATTGCATATTATCGCTTTGAGGGGAAAACGCCATAACTCAAATGGTCCAAAAAGTTTAGCTTATGTTTGCTCTCTTCAATTCAACTACCTGGTAGCGCTCCTATACGTTTCGCGTTACGCACGACCGCAACGTAACCTTGTATGCAACATCCTTTCTTTCACTGTTGGTGTGGTTTTTAAGGACCCGCGACAGCATGAGGGAATAGGAAATGTGATTTCATTGTTGCACTGGGATTGTACATACATCTGAAATACTGGGATCGTGGCTCTCATTTATCGTTGCATGATCCATCTGGCTTTTGATGCAGAATATTTCGTGGACATCAAATAGCCACAGCTCTCGGGCAACATACGCTGCATAATTTCGTGAATCTCTAAACCAGCAATGCTTCACTCTCTTTCTGTCGCAATCCAGAGACCTACATGGATTTATTAACGCATGTCTCACATGAGATGCTACTGCAATCCAAGGTGCATGAACGCCGACACAAGAATAGAAAGCGAGCAATGTAAAAAGACAAATACTCGAATTCATAATTACCTGTCCACAACATTGCTTTCGAAACTCAAATTACATAGCCTAGCCCTGATCTGTGAATAGAAAGCCCGCACACAAAACACGCACACATACATAAATATGCATGTGTTTGGTATGTGCAGGATGTCTAATGCAATTGACATTTGAATTGAATACTTCAATTTGTGGTAATTTAAATGACTGCAGCTTTAAAATGTTGACTAGAAGCTGGGGATGAAAAGTTTTGAAAAATAATCGATTCTCGATTCTCGAATGGTATTTAAGCCTTACGATTCTTGGCGAGATTCCAGTTATACGATTCTAATCGATTCTTTATTTCAATCTATCTTTCACTTGGAAAATATATAAAACGGCCATCAATCATAGCTAATGTTATTAAATATAGCGAATCAATGAATATTATTATAAAAAGAGTTTTAATAATAAATTTTCTACAATAAATTTGTAGAAAAATTGCTTCATTTGTTATAAAATGTGTGATTGACAAATATTCACGGTACTGTTTGATAGGGAAAGTAAATAAATTTGAATCCCCTCTCTAAAATTTCTTATTTTCTTAAATTAATTTTTACCATCTCTGTGAATGTGCGCCAATTAGTCTTACTTAACCCTTCTGCAATGTTTGGGTAAAAAATACCAAATTTTCATGAAAAAGTTCTTTAATTACAGAGTTAAGTTTTAAATAAACTGCGATGTTGTCTATTCGTTAAAAGCATAATCAGCTATGGTTTTGCAAAAAATAAAAGGGTTTATTTATTTTACTTTGTTTTCTTGAAGGAAACATGGTTTTTCCATACACCCACCATATTGATCCAATGATTACCTAGTATTTAAGGGCATCTTTGAACCGGTAAGAATACTGTAACTGCCGATAAAGTGCCTGCATGTGATAAATAAAATATTCACTGAATTCATATTGAAGTATCGTTTTTTTTTTAAATTGACAAAAAATTTATAGGAAGTGGTAAATTCCAAACGCTAATAAAATAAAATATTACAAGAATTTAATCTTTTTTTTCTTAAAATTTACTCATTTCCATTATTAGGTTAACTTTTAGGCTAGTCATGCCATAAATTTCACAATTTCACAATTCTAACAACTAACGCGTATCTAAAGCTATATGAAAAATAAGAGAATCGAGTTCTCCGAATCGATTCTCTATCGAATCCGAAAATATACAATCGGTTCTCTAAAATCGGTTATTTCGAGAAAAGCTTCGATTTCAGGGTGGAATCGCAATCGTTTTTTCCATCCCCACTAGAAGCTAATGTAAAGTTAATTTTCTCGGCTGCAAGTGTGGGAAAAACTGACAAAATAGTTTTTGTTAATCCCATACATATGTACCTACTTATACACATACATACATACATCTAAGCCAATTGAAAATCCATATTTCAGTACAATTGGTAGCAGGTAATTGGTGAAGCATCTTCTGATGCCAAACCATCATACATATATATGTATGTACCATATCTTTTCGTATAGACGGAAATCTTTGTTTGTAATTAAAAAATTTAAGATTATTGTTAATTTCTTCATGATCCGATAACCACCTTTGCTTTAAAAAAAGGATTATAGAAATGGGTTATGCGGTAACATACATAAAAAAAAAACGAAAAAAATATTCCCACAAATTGATAACCGTTCTCTCTTTTGTCAAGTAATTAGTTAAGTAATTGTTATAAGGCCATAAAATAACAAGAAAAAAAAAAACAGATTATTGGCATATTCAATTTATACTTTTCAAGTGAATTTCGTTTTTTTTTTCGAAACATTTTTTTTTTGAATTTTCCTGTATTAGTTGCGTTCCTTTCTCACATTTTCTTTTTATTACTCTTTTGTGTTTCTCACTCACATCGACGTTTTATCTTTCGATTGAAATTAGCCATAAATTCGCGATTTTTGCAATTCCAGGTAAGAAAGTCGCATTTTTTTCAGTTAAACCTTACACACTTCGATTTCATAGGAAGAGTGGCTCGTATTTGGAAGTTTTTCCAAAGAAATTTGAGCACAGCAAAGAGTAAAATATCTTCAAAGGCCATATCTCTAGGTAACCAAATTAAGAAGCGGCAAACAATAGCCAACATCAAAAAAAAACATTTGCGGACAGTTCACAAAAATGAGAGGAAAATTTAACTTAAAGAGCTGGTTGAATTTTATACTCATAGCAAAACCCAAGAAACTTTGCCGAGCTTAATGCAGAGGAAATGTGAATATTGTTACTTAGGCGATCATACAATGATCTTGCAATTGCAATGATCAGCATTGATCCGGATCAACTCGGGAATTAACTGCAGTTGATCCGGTTTAAGTCCGAGTTAAATGCAACAAGTTCTAAGCTCACTCGTTTGCAAATTGTACAAATACACTTTCTTTACAATACTCGTAAATTAAAGTAAGCAGCAAGAGCATTAAATTATAGAGTTATGCAAACTGCGGTTGGTGTCTTCCCATTTTATCAAAACTCATACATATTTGTGTATGTATTTCAAACGCATCGTTCAATTATAAATTTATCATCCCAGTAATCCGTGTGCTCAGACATCTTATGCGTGCATTACTGCTTTGGTATTTGATATATTTGAGTAAGAAAATATTTAGACTTGTGACAATTTTATTTTTTTTTTTTTAATAAGAGAATGTAATAAGCGTAAGCATATGCCATGCTTACCATGCACACGTGTAGCAAATTCTGAGAACAATTTGCTTATATGTAGATATTCTTGGCGCCTCCTACGCACAACAATCAGGCAATACTTCATACCCACAGCAGCAACAGTATGTAGCTTAGAATTTAACAGTTTTTAAACATCCAATTGGTATA